CTCTCTCTCTCTCTCTCTCTCTCTCTCTCTCTCTCTCTCTCTCTGTGTATCTTCCCTTCTCCCAAATACTCATCGTGTTCCTGGGATCGCCGATTCCAACCGTGAGCGTAATGCAGCTAGCTGCAACTCACAATCAGAGGACGCATCCTCCTCCCGTGCCACCGAGACCAAGTCGACAGGTGGTCGCGGAAGCACTCAAGAGATCCCCCAGGCCGCCTTGTCCCACGAGGCAGGCGCCACCACCTCCCAACGCGAAGCCGTGGCGATCTTCGAGTCGGGTGGATCAGGACGGTCCTGCTGGACGGACCCTCGTCTATGAATCTTCTCGTGAACAACCTGAGAAGGACTCATCTGTGGAAGAACGTACGTCTGCGGGCACAGGAGTGACTTCCGACGAGGTGACCTCCAGGTTGCGAGTTACCTCGAATAATGCCAAGTCTCCGAATGATAGGTCTACCCGTACAGCCAGTGAGAATATTGGGGACTCGGAGAACCGGCGACAGAGGGCTGTCCTCATAACGGGTCAGAGGTCAAGAGCAAACTCCAGTGTCGAAAATGAGCGGGTACCTCAGTCTAGAGTCATCAACAGCACAATCAGAAACATTTCCCAGTTTCCAGATGATATTCATCCCACGGAATCCGAGAAGGCAACTCACGACGAGGACCAAGTCGAGTCCTCGAGCCCGGCTGGCGCGTTCGGTGATCGACGATTTCCCTCAGCACTAAATTCCGCAAAAGTGACGAAGGAGGACACAGGAAAAAAGTCAGGAGCGTGCGAGGAACCTACAAGAAAGTTCGGTCCAACGAGTGGCAAAAGCGATCCCGCTGATCGGGAATCCGCTGAGGCGTCGAACGAGCAAGAAAAGACTGAGACGAGTGCTGGGACTATTTCCAGCGATGAGTGCGCGACAGTGGTCGTCGTTGACGAACCAGAGCGTAAAGTTGCCTTCGAGGACAGCGACAACATCCACCATCAGGATTGGCTGGAAGCCGGAGTCCGTTACTCCTCTACGCAAATTACAATACCTGCTGATGACTTTTCCGAGCGGTTCAACGGTTGCAGCAGTTTCGATGAGATTGACTTTTCTAGGTAGAGACTGCGACGGACGTCTTCGTAATCTTAACACATTACACAGACGGATGACGACATATCCCGCCTTTCGTATTCCACGGTTGGAGGCTAACGACGAGATATCTCGTATTTACTATTTATCTAAAAATGTAGCCGGCTACTGGGTATAGTTAATACATTGACGAATAAGTTGGTAGATCTTGGGAAGAAGAAATTGTAAGGGCTGGGGGCACAGGCACGGGACATTATAAAAGTAACGTAATAATCAAGAGCACCATTGGTAGGAATTAATCATCATACTGAATTGGATTTCTGTTAGTGTTAAGATAAAGGGGATTTTTTCAAGGAGTCTCGATAAGCGATTAATTCGAAGGCAATAAAACATGACTAACGGTAGACTGTTCTACAAGTTCGCTTTTTTACGTTCCAGTATAAAGGAGAGGATCGCAATGTCCTCGTTACAAGGTTTGCCGCCCCTGCCGAGGAGCCTCAGCGGATTCAACCTGAACATTGTTCGCGACGGGGGTGAACCGCCACCACCCCCAGCGAGATCGTCCAGCAAGTCCCAGAGAGTTACGAAGCAGGTCCAACCCGGCTCCAGGCCTTTGCCACCTACAAGACAGCTCACTACCCTGGACACCCAACTCGCCATTCTTCGGAGGGAAATGGTACTTTGATTTTCCCATTAAACTTTGATCCGAGCTTCCTACGGAGGCGCGTCAGTCGTCGAGTTAGTACCGGTTGGCGTTTGGTAGTTGCGTAAGTCACACCCGCGAGGCATTCTGGAGCGTCTCCGTGTGTCTGAAAGCGTCGATGAGGGTCGAGTCTGGGGGAATCTTTCCATAACGTAACGTGAGACTTGATGTTTTCACGGGCGTCCGTCCGGTACGTAGCCGCCGCGACGGGGCCGAACGGGAGAGTGAAAGAGTGAGTGAGGTGCGTGGGCAAACTGCAAAACTTGATGAATATTTATTCGGCACAAAAGACACTTTGCGATTCCAGCTTGGTCATTCGATCGACGTCATGACCAAATCATTCGATACTGAGTGTCACGCATAGTTTGTCAGGCTGGAGCAGCCAATCCGATAGGCAATCGGGACACGAAGCGCGTTCTACCTCAGCCGCTCCCACGCTGCATTCCCTCAGGCGTGACCCTCCGCAGCTCAAGCTTCCTTCCCTCGCGTTTTTTATTCCCCTGCTACTCCTTTCATTTCTTCCCTTTTTTTTCCTTGCTCTCTTGCTCCCTTGCTCTCTTGCTTTTGTCTTCCTCGTCACCACCACTGCCCTCTTCCATTCCCATGAGTTGCCGCTCTGAGCCTTCTCTGCAAATACTAGGCAGCGTGCGTTATTCCCCCATAAATCATCCCCTTTGCTAGGCTGCGAATCTTTCGCCATTAGTTTTTCTATCCTGCCAACGAATATTTTACAAGCGGAAGTACTTAAATTGCATCAAACTCAATTGCAGTTTGGTTTGCGTCAACTGGATCTGTCGCTGCTGTCTCAACTTTGGTCGCTGAACGAGTCTATTCAGGAATTTCGACAGCTTCTCCAAGAACAGGAAGACAGGGCCCCATCACCTTCGCCGAGCAGCGAGGAAGGCGACGATACTTCTTATAGCAGTCATCCGCCACCTCCTCCGAGAAGAGCCATACCTGTGGTGCATCATCATAGACCTCCAAGACCTCCAAGACCGCCTCCCAGCGACGATTCACCGTCCAGCGAGGAATACGGCGCCGTTTAGAATCTTTAGCCAGAAAATCTGGACTTGATATGCGCATTTGCCAATTTATCTCCCTAGAACGTCCACCCATTTCTCGTGTAAATTAATCTATGACTTTCTCCATCCATTATCAATCGACGATTTTCAAATTAATTTGCATCTCTCGCTTTAGAAATTGCGAAAGTCACTCCAAGATTATGAGGAAGTCGTTACGCAGAGTGTCAGCTCCTTTTTCGGACGTCGCTGTTAGTTTCCGTTCTCTTCTATGGATGGAATTCAGGAAAATGCGACTTTCACCGATCGGATCAGATTGGAATTTTTTCCATATTAGTAAACTTATGTTCGGAGCGTGATCGACCTAAGTTTTGCCAAAAAAAATTATCGGGTACAAGATTATCTCCAAAAAGCAAAAATGATCTCAATTTTGGAGAAAGAAATATGTGATGACTCCTTCCTGTGCAGAAGAAATTCGTTTTTCGCCCGATAATCATGAAGATGAGGATGGAAGGCTCTCAAAAAGGAGGCGATCGAAAGCCTTCGCAATACTCTCCGCGTGTTATTCTAAATGCAAAGGAGTGTTTCTATGATAGAACTGCGAGGACCGTCTATTTTTAAGGTGCTCGATATAATGTCCGTGTCAATTTTATACGTAGGTTTGCACCGATGTGCTTATGCGAAGTAATATTATGAATAATAAACAAAAGATAATTTAAATAGAACATTTAATGAGCCTGTTTGTACACGTATACGTTGACCTTTCACGAAATACCGTTGCTTCACTGGCGAACGGAGCAAATCTGAGAGCAGCGCCGACTGCGTTCTATTCCAAGCAGCCGCGATTTGCTTTGCCATATTCCTCGTTCCGCTTAAGACATCAAAGCGACCTAGCAGTCACTGCGAACCGAACAGAACCTCGTGTCTCGTAGGTCCAAGAGTAAATAGCGCGAGGCCAACAAGAACAACGGAACAGGACTGCCACCACCGCCACGCTGCGCTATCTGGTCAGGTGCGGCACAACCGGGTCCGCCTACGGAGCCATTCCTTCAGGGCGCACAACGTTTCACAAAACAATTGTTCACATTCACAGGATTTCCTCTTTTCGCCTTCAGGTCCGGGAAACTGCTGGAAGAAAGGAACTATGCTATAGGATGCTACCTGCTTCCAAATGAAATTCCCCGAGGTAAAATGGTCTCTCTTCTTATTCTATTTCACCTGTTCTCCCATCTCACTTCCAAGAGTCCTTGTATTTAGGAATTTGACGAGCATTCCCTGTGAACAGTGTACCTGCTTGCTCGACGACTATTTACATATTTTCCTGTGAAAAAGTACAGTGCGGAACGAATGAGAAAGTACAGGGAATTACAGTCAAAGCCAGCAATATCGACAATCAGATGGAGTCCAGAAACTCGAACAGAATGGAAGTTACGGTGATAGTTACTGAACATTCAAAAGAATTCGTCGATCCGAAAAAGAACGAGAATCGCGGAAATTAACCGTGAGGGAAGTTACTTGGGAAAGAGAGAGGTGGAAAGTTACCAGGGCGCTTGGAGCATACCTGACCCAATGAAGCCCTGCCGGGGCCACATTCTATTTCTCCCAACGTGGTTCAGACTGCGATAGAAATCCGTGCGTCCAACAGCCAATGGGTGCGCGTTCTGGCATTCCCGCGCGGTAACGTTAAAGTCTCGGCGTCGTCCGCAATCACGTCAGACGCTGGCTCGCGCGGTCGCCATCTTTCCTCTGCGATTTTGACGTATTACTCGTGACTCATTGCCTCAGTGTAGACCCGGTGGTGCTTCGGTGGTGGTGGTGGTTGTGTTGCTATTTGTCGAGTTCCATTCGAAATTCGGAAGGGTCGCGGGACCGGGTATCTGCCTGGCTCATTTCCGCGGAAGTGGGGCCCGTTATTTACATCTTCCGGATGCTGCGATTCTTACTTCAACGCCACATTCTGCGTATTTTGTCGAACAATTCTCCTGTCACAGAAAGGTATAGCCTCTCTTTCAAACTTACACGGCTTCCTATATGCTTCCAGAAATTCTCAAGCGGTTCGCATCAAGTTCGACCTCGGTTCCTTCGCAGTTTTGTGTTGACAGGTACGCACTCTTTGAACCGTATATGCGTTCTAGTCAATCTAGATCAGGAGATGCGATCGCTTGATCGAACCGTGAGACTCGATCCTCACTCATTTTTGTTGAGAAAAAATGTAAAAACTGGTGCTCTTCGTTTGCTTCGAGCGTTTAGGCTCGGCTGAAAAGAATGCATCGAGGAATGTACCTTAAGGCTAAAGTACGGAATGCACCCCGCCTCGACGTTGACCATCGAGTCGCCAGCATAACACAACTTTCTGAAATGCGTCGTAGAAACGTTGTCAAATGAAGTTAAAGCTGAACCGTCGCAGAAAAGTCAGTGGGACGGATTTTCTAAGGAAGCATTGGGCCCCGTAATACTCGTATGCGGGAACGGGCCCTGGAGAGACAAAGAGAGACAGCTAGAGAAAGGCGTACTGAGAGAGAAGAATAAAAAGGGGCCTAACATAAGGAGCAGCAGAAGAGCGAGAGAGGAGAGGATAAACAAGTGTGAAGGAGCAGGAGGAAGAAATTGTACTCTTTCCAACAGAGAGAGAGAGAGAGAGAGAGAGAGAGACAAACACGAAGAGTGACCCAGATTTTAGCGGGTCGAGGGACTCGCGCCACGGGCACAGTGTACGGCGGATTTTATGAAATGGGACGCGGCGCTGCCCGAAGCTAAATTAGCCGCGATGTCCAATAAGAATAAGTCCCAGCAGCCGCAGCATCCTTCGCACGTGATCAAACCAGTGGACCAGGTACCACCGCGGTATCAGCCACCTCCGCAGCCAAGTACCGGAATCCTGAAGAATCAGCCGCACTTTCCGGCCTCTTCGGCCGCCATCCAGTCGCAAAATACAATAGCGGGATCCGCCACTATTATCGGACATCATCCTCAGGTGCAGCACCAACAGCAGAGCCAACCACGCGTCGCAACCCAATCCAAAGATGTACAAAGCAAATTCTCCGCAAAGATAGAAGCATCGACTCAACCTACGAGCAGCCTCCCCAATCCTGCTAATCCCTCTAAAAACACTGCGCCGCATCTCTATACTCAGTCAAAACTTGCCCAGGGTCAGTTCCTGCCGCCAACCAGTCAATACCCAACGGCAGGTCAGCCAGTTGTCCGTCAAAGGATCACCGACGAGGAATTCCTGAGACTTGGCCCCGTGGAAATGCTGAAATTCGTCAGGAAGACCGAGAGTGACATCGCACGGCTCGCCGCCGAGCAGAATCGTCAAATACAGAGTTTGGTACGTTTCGTATGTCATCCTCCCACCTACCGAGGTCTTTCCAGTCGTGATTCATCGTTCAGGATCCCCGAATGTGATCCACCTTCTCCCCCTTTTCTGCCTCCCACTAAAGAAACTTCCTGTTTATAGCTGAGTGAGCTACGCGCGCTCAAGGAGGCCAATCAGAGGCTCAGTGACGACAATCAGGAACTGCGGGATCTCTGCTGCTTCCTGGACGATGATCGGCAGAAGGGACGCAAATTGGCTCGGGAATGGCAAAGATTCGGAAGGTACACGGCGAGCGTGATGCGCCAGGAAGTGTCGGCGTATCAGAACAAGCTTAGGCAGCTAGACAACAAGCAACAGGAGCTAATAAAGGATAACTTGGAACTCAAGGAACTTTGTCTCTACCTCGACGAGGAAAGAGGCGGCGGTCAGAGGGACGATGGCGATGGGAGCAGTTCGAGCACCAATGCCGAGGAAACTGCGCCTCCCAGATCTAGACATGCTCCTACCTTTAACGGTAACTTTTTTTTTTTAATACAGCAATCGAACTCGGTCCTTATAAAAAAAATGTAATTTCTGATACATACAGATCAAACAATGCAATACGTAAGGAGCCTGGAGCAGCGAGTGAAGCAGCTCGAAGAGGACAAGAATATGCTTCAAGCCAGGGCCCAGGGTTGGGAGCCGCCTCCAGGAGAGGTTTGGGAAAATCCTGGTAGCCCCACCGAGCCTCATTTGAGCAGTCGACCCGAAGCTGTTGTGCGTGCCCTGCAAGTGCTCGAGGTCAGGGAACAGCTCGAAAGAGAAGATGGACACGACGGCGAGAAAGCTCTGGTTCGGGAGATGTGCAACGTACGTTTAGCATTTAGAGATTGAAAGCAGAAAACGATACCAAACAATTTTTCTAATGATTCTTTTTTTAAATTTATTTCATTGATTTGTTTCAGGTCGTTTGGAGAAAACTCGAGGAAGATCCTCAAACGAGACACTGATTAAGCCCAACGAGACTAAATCTCAGATAGAATGATATTAAAAGAACTTCCATTGCCTTGTAGTATTAATGACTCTGAACCTAATGATATTATATGAATTGATAAATTATTATAATATACATATTTTTACGCGTAGATGATATATATATATATTTGTATATGAAGTAAGAGCGTATCCGTCGGCAATAAGAACTATTTATGTAAATCCGTAGAACGCCGTTAACTTGCCTAGATGACTGTTAATAAACTATTTTTATTAGAGCACTGTTTACGTTTTAGCTTTGCCCTTATGGCCGTTTTCCAAGGCTCATTCCAAGCAGTCTGCGTCTATCAGTGTTTCCCGATGTTGTACAGAGTCGGACATATTCCATAAAACCTTACACGCACGCGAACATCCTGATGATTTATCGTCTGGTCGACTAGTCCTGACTTCTTATTACTGAATGCCTCTGCTACGATTTATCGCTGAGCGACAGCAATACCCTCATATCCATAGTAAGCTCATCCAACGATGCTTTCACCATCGGCCTTTAGGTGCTGCAATATGAAAAGATCAAAGCGTCAAGGCCAATGCATTTCCAAATATTTCTTAGCCCTTTCAGATGACACTCGGCTTCTTCTAATTACCTCTGGCGTTTGCACAGCACCCGAAGCTTTTGAACTACTTTCCGTCTGAGGATGCTAAGATGCGCTTTGAATGCAGAACTACGACACACACATTTCTTTCTATTTTTAACCTGTCAAAAGATTCGCGCGAGCTTTCAATGCCAGCCTCCGAGATTGTCCCAGATAGGCATGGTGGCCACTCTGGTGATTTCACCCTCGACCTCCTGAACGGCTCCGCCGGATGGTGCCGCTTCTGGTCGTTTCTGGAAATCTGTTCAGTTAGGTTTCTCTCACAGTAAGTTATCGATCGACTCCTGTCAGAATAAAAACAAAAATTATTGTAGGAAGTCAGCGGTAGCTTCCGCATTCTCGTAGGAAGAGATTGTCGACGGTCCAGGAGTTCGTATAGTATACGGCTCTTCCGCCGCGACTCGGCTCTTCTTTGGCGCAAAGTTATCGCGGAGCTTGCGCAGCTCTGTGGCCGAACCGATAGTGGGGATGAGATTCATACCCTTCGCGGCAGAGAGATGAGAGTCATCGGGGATGTGCGTGTGCAGCGGTCTCGCGGAGGACAACGCACGGTTCATCCTCCTGGCCGGCGTCCTCGCGGCTTACATGCTCGCGGGCGCTGCGCTCTTCCAGAGACTAGAAGCTGATCTCGAGATCCGTCAGGTAGATCATCTCACAGCTGGACGATCAGTGAGTTACTTGCTTGATCTTAATTGATCTTTAATTTCCGTTTCTGATTTTCAGGCTGCTGAATTTTGGAGGGTCTATCATGCGTTTCGCAGACATCACTTGCGAAACAGTCCTCAGGCACTTCAACGCTTGCACGAACTTCTCTACGCTTACGGAAACGCTTCCGCAGCTGGTATCATCAACAAGAGGCGTCGCTGGGACTTTCCTGGAAGTTTCCACTTCGTGGGAACCATCGTATCGACGATCGGTCAGTCTGTGATCAGTTGTCATTTAAAAGTACGCGCACGCGGGGCAGGAGGAGGAAACGGTCAATCCTGCGATAAGGAGAGTGTCCGTGTCTCCGGGTCGTCGGCCTCGTACGCGCGAGAATGCGCGATCGAATTCCGGAATGTTAATATCCTGGAAGCGACCCAGTCTCGCGCCCCGACTACCCTTTCACAGACGAGTAAACGATCTGTTTACCCTACTTTCAGGATACGGCAGCACGGCGCCCCAGACGTCCGCTGGCAGAGCTGCCGTCGTTCTTTACGGATTCCTCGGCTGCTCGGGTTGGTGTTCATCGGAGAATACCAGACGCCAGTGACCTTGAAATAATCATGTTAATCATTAATTTTCATAGGTGGAATACTCTTCTTCAATCTTTTCCTCGAAAGAATCATCACGTTTTTGGCCTGGCTCTTACGTGGCTTTCATCTTCGTCGCCTGAAGAGAAGACTTCGCAAGACCACTCTGGCATCGCGTCGTATGCCCAGGGTAGCTCAGAACGCCCGATCCTCGCTTCCCGACATTCTTGACGACGAGGACGACGACGACGACGTCGGTCTGGAGCACTGGAAGCCAAGCGTCTACTGGGTGATGCTATATCTTTCGTTGGCTTCCTGTGCCGTCGCTTGCTGCGCCGCTGCCCTCTACGCTCCCTTGGAAGGTTGGGGTTACTTCGAAGCCCTCTACTTTTGCTTCGTGAGTTTCGCCACCATTGGCTTCGGAGATTTCGTCAGCACGCAAAAGCCCAACTACCCTTACGTACATTGGTGGGTAATTTTTTTAAACCGCTCCAGACAAAAATACACCAATGGAAAAGTGGCGAGTACTAAGAGGAATTTCATGCGCTTCACAGGTACAGGTTGGCGAATTTCCTGTTTCTTGTGATGGGATGCTGCTGCATATATTCGCTATTGAACGTGACGTCGATCGTAATTAAACAGGCGCTGAATTACGTGATACGGAAGCTTCGGTGCAAGGGACGCGGCATGGCTGGGCCACATCTGCCTGGAAGGAAGTCTTCCGTGTCGGCCATTTGTTATTCCAGAAGAAGGAACACGAGAATCGGTGTGCGTGAATCTGTCAAGGCGGAGGAGAACGAAGCAGATGTGCCACGTAGAATGTCCGGGGAACTTATTTCCATGAAAGATTTCTTGTCTGCCAATAAAGTCTCTTTGGCTGTGATGCAAAAGCAGCTTTACGAAACTGCACAAATGCAGCGTGGTGGCGATTCCGGCTCCACGACGCCAAGTCACCAGGCAGTTTTTAAGCCTGGAGCTGTCGGACCTTTGGCTATAGCTAGTGAAAAGTTTGAAAATAAAAACACTGTCTAGTCCAGTCATTCGGTGCTCAAAAAGGGGGTTACCTGGAAAGTATTCCGGGAGTTTCGAAAATTGGTATTTTTATAGATTTCAACACGCTCCTTTCGAATTTTCACTTTGCCACCTCGTATCTTTGCCGCTTGATATCTCCTTTCCGACTCATTTTAAGATGAAAATAGTTAGGTGATAAATTAAACTAGAGAAAATTTCTTATAATTTATGTACCAACCTGTTTTTTGTAAAATGCATACTTTCAGCGTATGAGTGCTGCAAACCAACACACATCTATTCCAACACGCGTGTTTCGTATATTAACGAAAAATATATATTGTGACGTAATTTTTCGAATCATGGTCACAAGGCGACTTCGACTACCGATACAGATAATGGTTTCGATTTCTGGTTCCCTTCGAGTCGCCACCCTGACCAGAAGCTACGCTCTCAAATTGATCCGTTTAGTTACGCCAGTACTCTCGGAAGATTTCGTTAGGATTTAGCAGAAACCAGGGTGAGATATTGGCGCCCCGCTGATGGGCAAAGGGCTGTAGAGCGAGCGAGATCAAGTTTTGATACGGTTAAGGACGTACCGAATTCCCCGGCTGAGGAGAGTACCCGACGGAGACGTCTCCACGGAGTGGCAAAAGTCCGGGTGAGATACCGGCGTTGATACGGTTAAGGGCAGGGGAGGAACCTCCTGCCCGAGTTAAGGATGCGATGTCCAGCTGTCGCCCGATACCCTGGGGAAGCGGCCGTGGAGGATTTTCAAAGTTACGTACCGATTCGCTAAAGAACGATCTCGACTTGGTTTAAAGGGACAACTCGAGGGAGATGGAAGAGTCATCGGCTATAAGAATCTCAACCAATCAGATGATCAGAATGATTGGTTCTCGAATTTGTCTATTGTCAAGGCAGTCTGTCTCGGGGCACCGACCGAGGTGTCACGAGCTGTCACGAGCTGTCTCGCGCTCCCGTCCTATCTGTTGTTAGTTTTTATAGCTGTGTTTCGCTACGGTATAGAAAGTTCTCGCTCGCGTAGTTCTCTCGCGATATCCCGGAAATTCTATGGGTTTCCCGTGCGTGTTCCGGAGGTGCAGTGTTGTGACCTAGTGCAGTGCCCACCCGAGTGTCCTCTGGATACGGTTCTCGACCTTCTCGGATTAGCTGCACCAGCTCCGGTGAGTACTCCCAATTTATTAATTGGTGAAGGGATTTCGATTTGACAGTTCAGATTCGTTTCGTTACGTTCTCGATCCGTTGCTCTCTGTATCGCGCACTATTTGCCTGACTTTTACTCCGACCCTCTAACTCAACATAGCAGCATGAGCGGCCGTGCATTTCCGTTCGCGCATCCAATTGCGTTTGCTGATTTTACGCGTTCCCAAAAATGTACAGGATTCGTTAAGTTATCGTCTCTTCTGATAGGTTCCGTCAGGCTCTCGTTTTAGTGGAGTTGGGCCTGTTCCACCCCAACTCCCAGGTCATACCGGCTGGTCAGTTCCCGGTGAAAAAAGAATTGGCTGGCGCCCTCCTGGCTTGCGGATGCCTGAGCGAAGGGTGGACGGCCGAAGGTAACGTAGGTGGGTTGTCGAAGATAGTTTCTTCTCGGATTTTTCGCTATCGGTGCCGAGTTAAGAGAAAATACGTTACAATATATAAATGAGTATAAAATATATTGTATATACATATATAATATGTAAATGAGTTTTTTCGCCAATACGCGTGTTGGAGTAGACTTTACGGCGCTCGTACGTTGAAACTATTCATTTTACAACAAAAAAGGTTGGTACATAGATTATAGGAAATTTTCTTTACTTTAATTTATCATATAACTATTTTCATCATAAAATGAGTTTCGTCGAAAAGGAGATATCGTCAAAGAACTGTTTTTGGGCGTCATTTTTTCAATATGACGCACATTGAAATCTATAAACATACGAATTTACAAAACTCCCGGAAAACCTTCCAGGTAAAACTACCGAATGACTGGACTACAACAAGTAGAATTCAGATTGACAGATTACTCGCTAGATAAAAAGAATAACCTGCGAGCAGCTTATAGGCATTCGAAGGTAGACAGTGTCGAAAATAAACGGTCGCAGGGATGGGGAAACCTTAAAATAAAATGTAACATGTAGACGGTGCTTTCATTGTACCGATCATTAAATAACTTTATTTAAATGATTTTTATAGTACAGTCCTCCGTGTATTCAATGACATTCACAAACTTACAGCCTGTTTTCTCTTTAACTGCGACAATGTGTACCATACATGTATATAATATGTGTAAAACAAATCTAACATTACCGAAAATTCTTCTCGTAATTGTCATATTTTCAGCAGATAAAAACAAGTTACGAACTACGTAACTTTGTGCCTTTTGTGGGTCGAGTCGCTGAAGCTCGGAAGGGCGTCCTCGAAAACGGCATCAAAATTCAAAAGACTCAAACTTCGATGCTCTGCACAGTCTCACCCGAAGAGACCTTGCACTCTGATTCCGAGTGTTTTGAAAGTCTAAGGACCTAACCGGGAATTCACGAAGACACGAATTATCTTCTTCGCCTAGTGGACTACGAGGCTGCATCGATTTGAATCATACAACGCGGAGAGACGGTGGAAATAGAAGAAGGGAAAGACTCGATAGTAAATCGGTTTTGCGAATTAAGCTAGTTAGTCGACAAGGAACGCGGTTGGGATTAGAGCCCCAAAGGGCGCAGAGCCTAGAGCCATAGACGGAGTTCTCTCCACGACGCAACACGCAGAGCTGAACGATTACGAGTAAGCTCAATTAATATCTTCAGAGAGGCTTTAGCACCGCCGAAGAACCGGCTGCTTCCATGCTGCTACTGTGCTGTGCAACTGTGCGCCTGTGCGCCTGTGCACCGTGCACCTTACGTACTCCAGAATCCCGTGAGAAGAAACACGCAACGCGAAGGCATCAGCACGCTGTGCGGCGCTGACACTCGCAATTGCGTTTTGTTAATGGAGTCGTACGTTACCCTTTACTCCAAACGCATGTCACTTGCATTTCCGGGATCTTAAGCAAGGAGGAAAGACATCGATCAGATGCTGCCTTGCTCGACACGCGGAAGAAGCAATCAGAAAAATGAACGCGTTCCGTTTCTGACGGAACCGTTCGCGGCGAGAGAGTGAACGCCTCATCGCTATGAAATCGATCAACAAGGTTGCACCCCAGGACTAGCCCAGGATGAGCGACAACGTTTCGCGTTGACGCCAACAAGCTACGTTCCAAAAGATTCGGACCAAGTGTGTCGTCACTCTGCCTGAGCAACGACGGCCGCGTTTGGTAACGCCAGCAAAAAGCACAGCCAACTGTCGCTGTGCACAAAGTCAAGAGATTCATATCTCGATACGTGTTTTGTTTCTACAAGCTCGTCGCGCGAGCTTACCGCAAGTCTCCTCAGCGTATGTCGCGCATGCGCACGAACTGCTGGCTCACCAAGTCGAGCCCGGTACCTATCAGATCGACATCATCAGAGATTTTAATTATCTTTGGCTTGAGAAAATCAGTGTCCATATCGCAGGCCTGTATGTAGTCAGACATCAGAAAGTTATTGTCGGCAAGTTCCGGTGGCATGTTTTGATTCTGGGATGGATGATTTCGTGCTCGTGGTACCTGATCTGCCGGCTCCATGAGAGTCGGATGTTTCTTGCGCTGATGTTGCAAAAGTTTTGCCTGTAACAAGACACGAGAATTAGTTTTCCGTACCTGCGTCAATTCGAATCTCTTTCGTATTTCACTGACCTTGCTGGCGTATTGCTTGTGACACCATTGACAGCCTTGAGGCGTCGTTGTGATACTACCGACGGTCTGGCTGAACGTAGGATTTGGCAGTCCAGAAACATCCGCTTCCTTGTGCCGATTACTCGGCGGTAAAGCAGCACCAGGATGATTCTTCACTATGTGAGCCTTTCTTTTGCTGCTGCTCTTGTAAACTTTTTCGCAATACTGACAATAGTAATCACGCGTTTGCCGTAGAATCGGTAGATTCAATTCGGGTACCGATTCTGGTGGAACATCTGGATGACGTTTGGCCAAATGATTGACGAGCATCCCCCGTCTTTTAAAGCCCACCATGCACTGGTGACACTTGTACACAAATCGATTATAGTCCGTCGGGTTAACCTGTCGTTGAAAATGCCATCATTACGAAATATTGTAAATTCATCGAATTTGCATACGAAAAAGCAGACATACCTTTGGCACAAATTTTTTCGCCTGATTGTTCTGTGACACCTGTTCCTGACTGGTCCGCTCCGAATTGTGCATTCTGGTCATGTGCTCCTTCAACTTGTCCTTCCTTTTGAATTGTTTATCACAATTCGCGCAGTGAAACTCTCTGTGATCCGAATGCCTGAGCAGGTGCATTCTTAACTTGTCTACCGTAGGAAATCGTTTCGTGCAGAATTGACACTTGTGTTTTCGCTCGCAGTGATGCGCTCTGATGTGCTTGCGAATTACTGAGTATTTAGTAAAAGTACGCGGGCATTGTGGACAGCTAAAAGTCTCGTCTGCGTTCCTATGAGTTTCGATATGATCCTTCAGCATGAGCACTTGGTCGAATAATTGCCGGCACATGGGACACTCGAATATCTGCTTATCCTCCCGATGAGTCTTGAGGTGGCAGGACAGGGCGGAATTGTTCATGAATCTCTTAAGGCAGATATTGCATGGCAGTGGCTTCTGATCCTCCGCCCCGTGAACCAAGCAATGCTGCTGCAGCCTCACTTTGGTAGCAAACCGCTTATAGCACATAGTGCACTTGTATGCAGCCAGAGGTGTCAACTTCGTAGGTTTTGGCAGTTGCAGTCGACCATGTTGCGAGACATGATTTACCAGGTCGCTGCGTTTTTCAAATTCAGAACCACATTGGGGACAGATGCTCGATTGATGGCCAGTTTCGATATTATCGGCAGCATGAATGAGAATGTGCAAATTGAGAAGGGACGCTTTGTCAAAGGTCAGAGTGCATGTTGAGCACTTCCATTCGGATGAATTCTGACGGCTGTTCTCTTTCTCCTTTGGATTCTCACCATGAAATATTTTTATGTGCCGACTGCGATTATACGGATGAAGAAAATTCTCTCCACATATAGTACACTCGTAGCGTGGTGCCTTGGCTCCAGGATGTATTAGGAGGTGTCGCTTTAAACTGTAACTTCGTGGAAAGACTTTTGGACAGTAGGGACAGGTGTATACGAGCGTCTGTCCATCGACTATTTTCACGAATTTATTCGACGCCACGTGAATCTTTTTGCGCTTATTTCTTGACTTCATCTCATTCTTCGGATTGTCGTGCACGTTCAAATGTTTCTGTAACTTTTCTGAGGTTAAAAATCGCTGATTGCACTCAAAGCAGGGCCAAGCATTGGACTTGTTCAGTTCCTTCTCCTCTTTCGATTCGGGCTCGAATACCTTCAGATTTCTGCGCACGGCGTACTCAACACTGGGACCTGCTCTCAATTCCTCTTTGGGAAGGATATTTCTTGTTGTCAGAAAGACTATTCCATCACTTTGCTGACATATTGCGAGATTCTGTTCAATGTATGATAGTGCAGGTCTGACAAAGCGCATCCAATTCGATGCATTCTCGTTGGAAACGTCAATCTTTAGAAATTCACCATTGTCAGATTCGTAAAGAAGGGGCAAAGCATTCTCGAATGGTGTACCATCGTAAGCGCACAATATTCCTTCTATAGGACCGAATTGCGTGCGCCTCCTTATGTTCCGCTTTGCAAAAACTCCGTAATTATAACCAACCGTTGGGACATTGGGAGTTGGTAGCTTATTTATGGATAAATAAGATCCTGGCAGTGTTGCTATAGCGCGCGAGGGTACGGGTTGATCAGCAATGGTACGCACATTATGTGAGGTGCATCCATCAGAATTTACACAGACACTCTCACATTCTTCGCACCAAAATGTCTTCTTATCGTTTATTTGCCGCTTTGATCTTCGCACGTTCCTCTTTTCTGTATACACTTTCTGACCGCTCTGTTCCGGCACATCCTTCATTGATTGACGCTTTTGTACTGTTGCACTTGGTCTTGTCACATTTCCTTTGTTCCTATTTATTGAAGGAGGGGTATTGCTCGTATGTCCTTCATTCAATTCGACGTTTTGACTCTTAAAAGGCCCCATTACATTCATTTGGTCATCGTGCATCACCAGAAAATCACGAGTCAACGTGAAATCGGTTGCTGGTATTTCCGCAAGCATCAGTGGTGCTGTAGATGGCTCTAACTCGGGTGTAGACCCTATGCATGCAAATGCGTCAAGTTGAAATACAAGAACAGTGACATATTTCTAATTTTATCTAAATATTATTCTTACCCTGCATTAAAATTAATTCACCCCCAACGCCAGGAACAAGCCCTTCCTCGCTTCCAGCCACAACAAAATCTGGAGAGTTATCAGTTTGAGGTACATTTTGTGTGGTGGTTTGATGAGCCAGTGGTGTGACGTAATTAATATTATTTCGAACATTTGGTTCAGGAGGGGATATCAGAGGTGAGGATGGGCCTTGAAGAACAACCACAGAATTATGAAAAGGTGATGGTGGTAGCTGAACTGGAGTTGGCGAGTACCTCGCTGCAGAACTCATGTTGGGATCCAGTGGACTTACACGATGTTCAAAATCAGAGAGAGGAGATGTAGCACGTGGAGAAAAGGAAACCTGTTCATAGGCTGGAAAGATTCTGGAATAATCTCGAGATTGATCCTCCACATATTCAACCTATAATATGAAAGATTCCTCGGTCGTAATACTGATTGATTATCTAAGTTTACTGGAGTACTTACAGTCAAGAAAAGAAGTCTGTTGTTAGTTTTCCTAGGCTGATCACACATTACTGTAGATCTTGTGTGCTCTGTAGGCCAGGGCTCTGTGACTTCATTTACTTTATCCATAAGTGGCATCTCTGGTGAGTCGACAGGGGCCCCCTCGGGAGGGCCCCTTGGATCCATTTTACCTCTATTGAATCACCAAGTTCAGTAAAGCTTTTGGACGACCTATAACTGACAAACGAAGATTTTTACAATAATATCGATCGCATGTATATAACGGTAGAGAAAATAAAACAGTAAAGAACTAGGTTTCTCATTAACGATGCACTTTTCTCTCTTGCACAAAGACTCACAAGGGTATGGAAGCGTTTTCGAAGATACGAGAATATCCCATGCATGTACATTTTTATGACACTACAATTCTGGCGAACCAGGTCTCACCTGTCTTAAAAAAAATACGTTTTTGCAAGTCGTTATACCTGCTGCAGTCAGCCAGACATTTACTAGTCAACAATCGACTTTATCGGCTTTCCCATCGGCAGTTGAGAACCACTGACCGGCGGGAATCTTTCGAATGAGAATGTAAATCTGAATACTAAAAAGAAACTTTGTTTAAAGAAAAACTTTCAAAAGGAATATTGAGAAAATCAACATTTTTGAAATAACAAGCATATTTAGTCTACAAAGTTTAAAAACGTACTGACTTATAACAAAAGTAGAAATATAAATGCATAATGTTAAGTACATCTGACTGTTTATTTAATTTATTTTAAGAAACTTCAAATATGCCTTACGCCTTTAAATAATTAGCATATAATGCCTATATAGGTAGATCGTATATGGCATCAATCATACATATTAGCAGCTGCAACCGCTGCAACTCCTGGGGCACCCTAAAAATTTTCCCTAACGACCAGTAACCGAGTCGCAAACAAACTCTGTATCCGTTTTATGGTTTCGTTTAATCGATGCTCCATCAATTAACGAATGAACAGCACGACGCATTTCACTCGAAACTTACACTATTCACGCAATTCATGCAGTATACGCAGGAAAAAGAGTCTGGAAAATGAAGAGCGTCCGTTTTAACGACGCAAGAGAAGTTATGGAGCAGATGCTGCGAGTGCCAATTTTCCGAATTTCTGAAAAACGGATCATGCTTATGGATGGAATAGAGGATTTTACTGGTCCAGATCCAAATTTGATTATGGACGCAAGACATAAAATATTCAAAGAACCATTGCCAATGTCACCATCAAGAAGTTCCATCCTGGCTGAAGCAAAAAGGTACGAAAATTCTCTTTGGTTGGGGAATTCGTCATTCTATAAGTCTTTGTTTCTTGCAGGTTATTATTAGACGAAGAATCGGAAGTGTTATTTCGGAAAAAGGAGCAAGAGCTCCTCGAGGCAGAATTAAGAAAGTTTCAACAACAGTTATGCAAATCTCGTCCGAAATTCCACACTACTTATAGCTGCACCAGGAAGGCCCTCGCAAATTCGGATAACGACAACTTCTGGCGGGATGTATGTCCTAAAAAAAAAAGCAAAGAGTTCAGAAAATGCAAGGGTGAATCTGGAGAGGATGATGCGCAGAACGAGAATAGTTATTCGGGTAATATAAAAATTACTATAAAAGACAAACCGGTGTCCGAATCCAAAGAACGAAGAATGGAGACGCTGAGGAATTACTTTGAAGCAATGAGGCAAAATGCTTGGCAGGAGAAGCGTCTACGTGACATCAAAACTAAAATTCAAAAAAGTGTTGCGTGTCGAAGACTTCGCCAATATTTTACGCTCTGGAAAATGCAAGTTGACCGAAGGAAGGAACTGGCCAAGAAAAAGAAGGATGAGCGCGACATGACGAGTGAAAGAAAAATAGAACTGTTCGTGAACGCCATTGCGGAGAAGCAAAAGGAACTGGCGAAAACTAAAAGACTGGCAAGCAAGGAACCGATGGTGGGAGCGGTGGGTTGTGCTAGTGAACAGGGGGGTGAAACACGAAAGCTTGTAAAAAAACGCGTCTTCACAGTGGACCCACCAGCTCACAATCGGCTAACTGCCCAGAAAAAGATCATCGCCGAGCAAAGAGCAAAACTCGCAGAGCAGAATAGAATAATAGAAGATATGCGATTAAAGCAAATGGAAAGTGACTCACGGAAAACGAAGAAGGAGACAATAAATGTAGCCAAGGAAGCTCTGGCACACTGTGGACGGAAAACTAGAAGGACTTTGATACAGCTTATGCGAGAAGAAGGTTGCAGGTATGAATTCCGTTTGTTATTTTTTCAATAAAATCCATGCTCCCCTTTCCTTTAGGAACGAACCCTCGGTGGAAGCTCCAAGATTGCCCAGTCCGCCGCAATTTCTCCTGAGAATGGAAGCGCGCGCGGAAGCTCGGCGTCAAAGAGTAAGGATTGCTGAAGAAGCTCGGCAGCGGAAACTGGAGGAAGAGAAAGAGAAGAAAGCAATTGCCAGGAAGGAGGAGGAGCAGGAGCGAAAAAGAATTCAGCTAGAGGTATGTTGCGCATATCAACATACATATATAACAATTTGAATGATCTCAAAATCGTGGCTTGTTTGCAGGCCCAGAAGGAAGCAAAAAGATTGAGAGAGGAGCACGAACAGCGACGTGCTCGCGAAGCTGAAAAAATAACGAAATTGAATGCGATGGCCGATCTATTTTACAGAACGTATCTCTTGCGTCGCTACGTTATGAAGCCCTTCACCATACTCATTGAGATTAAGTATAATAATATTAAAAAGGCGAATGACCATTACGGACTGACGTCCCTCAGAAAAACTTTCATGGCCTGGAAAATAGAATCGCAACGTCAGCATGATATGAAAGTAGAACTGGCAGAAAGTATTTATCATAGAAACTTGATGTGGCGTATGTTGAAAGCATGGACAAAATACACAGAAGACGGGAAGCATAAATATCAAGTAGCAGGCGATTTCTATGAGATGAGACTTCAGCAGAAGTATCTAAAGTCGTGGTGCACAAGCGCGTTTGAAAGTAAAATGAGAACTTTGGAGAATGAGCAATTGGCGCACGATCATCATCGGAGGAGATTGAGAGTGAAGTACCTCGAGAAATGGAAACGGTATCCAGAAATCGCAAAGGAAGTTCAGGAAAGTGAAAGAACAAAGGATAAATGGAGAGAATTGGTTCAAAGAGTCGTTCCAGATTTTGATCCGAAGTACAGGGGTGTCATGATAGATGATTGATCTACGGTCGTACTATAGGAATTAGAAATAATTTACGAGATCTTAGTTACTACGAATAAATTTATACAATTTATTAGTAACTTTAAACGTTCAATGGCCATTTTATCACAGTTACAATAAATATACATATTGTATGCACGACAACTTACTAAGAGTAAACGAGATTTTTAATAGAGATCACTTCCTCGTTGCGATACAATGCACCGACGTTCACTATCAAATCATCAAAATATTGATGAGAGCTCAAGATTGAATATACCTAAGGAAGAGAACAAGTGAGGCAGGTAAAGAGGTAGGAGAGAGTCAGAGGAAAGTTACAGACGCTAGTGAACATAAAAAGGTTTATCGATCGGCCGCGATTGCATATACCATAAAGTGTAAAAGTAATGTATATACTTGGTATCGCGTAATATCGTTTTTTTGGTCTTACTGATTCGTGAGAATGATCAATGCCGCTACGCGTAGGAAATATGGATACTCCTCAATGCAGAGTACTTCCAATTTTCTAATACAGATCCATTACATTCGATCTCTGTCCTTAAACTTTACAACAGAATATCGGTGATAGACTCTTCAGTACACTCTCTCCGTAATGACTGCTTGGAGGGAGGTTGCGTCGTTCATTCGACGTCGTCCCGAGGTATATCAACCAAAGATGATATATCAGGTAGCACACGAGGACTAAACCAACGAGGAGGCTGTAGATTGCCGACACGAAGCAGAGGGCGATGCTGAAATAACGTTGAAATTTTATTTGTAACGTATACTTTTCGATTCTTCGGTTGATTCGAAAAAATGATCAAGAAAATGTTTATTCGCCAGGAATAACTTTTCTGACGCCTGGAGGCAAACAAGAGATACCAGATTTACAATATAAAAACACATTCTTAACAATTGTCGTTATCTTGCGATTATTCAAGTTAGGACTATCGATTCTCGCGGAACGTTCGGTATCTTTCCAGATGGATGTGTGGAGCAGTTGGGTCATAGACAAACATTTTCCAGCGCTCATGGTGGAAATTTTTTATAATTGAAAAACACATCAATAGTAGGTGCAAAACTCTTCTATGTACATACTCTAACTGATAGTATACGTCACTGCAATCGTCCGGTAACAGAACTGTTGCAATTAAAATGAACGGATGGCAAACACTAGTCATCGTCAGATTTGACCCATAGATGAATGCTATAGCTGAGAATAAGAGACAGGCTAAGTACCACCTCAAGTTACTAGATCCAATGCAGCAATCCAACCTGTAAAATTCATTATTCATATTGAAAATAAATACATAATTTTGATAACAGGTACGCAATTTATTTATCTGTTATAACATTACCATTTACAATGGTATTCTCTGCCAAGGATACAAGTCTGACACGTTCGACAGTGATATGCCCTAGGAGGTGTCCTTCTTCTGCAGATCAGGCAGAGCTCTCCACTTCCTTCACCAAGCTCCAAACCTTGACCAGCATTTTGAGTCATGCGATCTGCTTTGAGTCTAGTCAAATATCCACACCAAATTCCACCAACAACACAAATAATAAATACCAAATTCTCCTCAGGTAAAATCTCCAATAATGGAACCACAGTTATTTCAAAGACTAGCATAAGCATTATCACACTGACAATTGTCCAGACAAAGAAGAATTTCGTTCGTAGGAGAAATCGCAGGAAATTGTGATGTAAGTAGTGGACGAGTACTGGTGTGGTTACGAAAATAATAATAGTGCAAAACAGCGTCTGAGCCGCGATTACCGCTAAAGCTGGTACCGCGAAGAGCGGAATCACGGCGTCTACGGATATCTGTTTGGCACTTCCTCGCCATGCACACGGCATTCGAAATTTCTCCAGGATATGCATACTCGTTGGATATACTCCAGAAGAAGGGAATGTTAACTCTGTGATCACTATCGGAGAGGAAAAACGTAAATCAAAAGTCCTGACTTGAGGTTAATAACTAACCTCTCCAAATCCTAAGTACTATTATTTTTTCAACCCAAAGTTATCAAAACACAGAGGTTACCTCATTGACGAGTTTTGGGTAGGGGACGTATCGGCAGCAAGAGGTACTGACGTCACTGTGAATCCCAGCAATCTCATTTGGCGGTTCTCAATGGGTTGAGTTTCTCTCGCATAGAATTCATCGTGACGTGACGCAGAAAGTAGGGATAAAACAACCTCTGGGGTTTAGAGACCTTGTTTCAACCGCCCTGAGTATTTGAGTTGGATCATGTGGATATTGCAGAAGGTGGCAGCACGAGTAAACTGAACGACGTTGATCGTAAAGCCGTGCCGTGTGATTCTTTCTTTTTTTTCTAATAAAGTTGATTAGAGCAGGACTCACAAGTCACCTGATTTGGCTAATGTGGACTAGGACATCCGTAAACTTCGTGTCAATCTTTTCAGAAGCCTTTCGAACGGAGTGTAAAACTCGGAAAGATGAGCAAGTAAAACGAAGAAACGAACAGAACGTACTCTGATGGTTATAAGTTTGGTTCGTCTCTTTGATTTCCTGCTTGGCTTTAGAGACAAAACCTACTTCTATTGGTGGAATTTTATTCTCGCCATAAATGTCTCTTATACGACTTCTCCCCGTGAATGGAAGCTGTTGTCATTGTTGCTGCTCACAGCCGGAGAGTAGGTCGCGCAAAGTCGACATCATCCGTCACTCCGGGAATGTCTATACCAACGACAATCTCGGCCAAAGAGATTGTTGTGCATCTCGCAACGGCGATTCACGAGGAGTAGTAAGTAAGAAAGAGGTAGAAGCCAGAAGTCAGAGACAAGCGACAGTCGGTGCTGGATGGTGCTGGAAGCAGAGGCAGAGCGAACCAAAGGTTAGAACTCCGTCAGGGGCGTAAGGGAAGAAGCATAGAGTATAAGCAGTTTAGTTGTGTTGGATGGTGAAACGGTCGATAGGCGCACCTGTATACCAAGAGGCAGCCGATTGCGAATGTGTGGCGGGATCGTGACGTAAGTTGCAACTTCAATTGAACTACAAATAAATGAGAATATTATCATGTCTGGGAGAGAAGCATAAGATTCTTAATTATCAACATTGTAGCCAAAGCCCGATAGTTCTGCTTCGGCTTTATCGTTATTGGTTCGCAACTCTATAGACTGTGAAAAAGCTATGTGATAAAATGGCTTACACTGTATTGAACAATCCGCTTGCACTTCGAATCGTCATTCCTTTCTCCGGATGGCACTCGACACTCGAGATTGCCAGCGGGAAGGACCGGAATGGCGCTTCATCAGGAGTAGATTTTTCACATTTGCTTATTCTAAATTATCGAATATTGACGTAGTCGTGTCTTTTGGCACGTGGCATCAAACTAATAAAGAGATAATTAAATGGCTGGATTTTCGGGGAGAGTCGGTAGCCTATCAGTGACGACTACTTAAAGTACGACTGGAGAACTCTATTTAGATAAGAAGAAGCATAATAACGAGTAGTTATCAAAGAGTCAAAGATTGATTTACAATGTACAATATGCTGTTAAACTGTGTTGAATTGTTTGCACTTGTATGATGCGGTTATCGTTGTTGTTTGCCAGACTGGCTGCTGGGACGCTTTTGAAGACTTGCAATTGGGGGGTAATGTCGTCAAGAGCACATCCGATAATTAGAACAGTATTTGTCTAACAATTCGAACATATAGTTCGTCGTTCGCATTTGTTCGGCCGTACCGGGTGGTCTGACGTTGAAAAACTAGAAGCAACGTTTATCTGTCCTACTACAAATGAGATAGCGCAGCATGCTAAATATTGTGTTAGCAGTCATATTATATACATAGTACAGTTACTGCTGTAATCAGCAGGCCCTTCAAGAGCTTTCAGGCCGACTCATCATCCTTAGTTCCGCGCTTCTCGCTAATGCGAGCTAAGAATCATTTGTCTAGATAATTGGTCTCTTCTGGTTACCTACACTTTCTGCACTTTTCAAAAAGTATAGGTAACGAAAACAGACCCAATAAGAAGGAATGATAGAGGATCCGAGTGATCACGTCGAACTTCTAGTGCCTGATAGGTGACAATAGATGGAGGATATCGCCGCGTTGAAATTATCAGGGTTATCGATGACTTATTCTCTATCTCCTCCGCGCGCACCTACCATAAGATTAACAAGGGTGATTGAATTCTTATTTTTAATCGATGAAAATCGAATGGAGTGGTGGACTATTCTCATTGGTCGGCATGTTTCTCTCCAGAATCACTGTTAGGCTTCGCAGTCGCTGATTATTGAAAAGTCAGAGTCAGAGGCTAAGACAGAGACAGGATAATAGTAATAGAAGCGGGTGGGGGTTAAGGGCAGCTGGGACTGGAGTATTTGGTTACCGTAACTTCCGAGTGCCGCGAAAAAGAAGAAAAGTGAGAGAGCATCAGAGGGTTTTCGCGATGATAAACTCAATCCGTATAGAGTGGTAGCGGTGCAAGGCAGGAGTAACCAGCCGATAAGTCGCGTAGTCGTTCGCCGCATTCATATATATATATCATATACACATATAGTTGAGTTGGGGTTAGTGCTCTCTCTCGAAGCTTTCAGGCTTCCCGAGGATAGAAACTGGTCAATCGGGAACGTGGCCATGTTATATAAGCTAAACACACACACGGCAGGCGGTCACAACACATTATCGAACCGACAGATCCGTCCAGCACGTTGAGCGCGCCTTGATCACCGATCGTCTCACTTTCAGCTGATCCTCTTTCACGTTCTCTTGAGTCGAGAGGTCTTCATATTCGTCCTCGGAATCATGAGAAGCTGACGCCGCGGTCGACACCTCTCATCAGCCGGCGATGTCTTCTGCGCCCTTGAATAAGTTGCAGCTCTTGTGGGACCACTTCATACACGCGGAACCCCAAAGTTATGAGGTACGTACTCTCTGACAATGAGTTCTTCTCATTCTTCCGAATCTTTTAGTAAGACGATAAGAAAAGGATCCAGACTGCACTCGCTCTGCCTTGTGACTAATGGATTTCAAGAGGCAGATTTCGGAGATTCGAGCATTCGCAGCGTAATATCACAGAATCCCCGGAGAAGGTGCCGACAATCAGATGCAAAGGCTGTGGCGACTATAGAAAAGGGAACGTTATGCTCGTAACGGAGCGGCATACATCATGGATCTTTCCATGCTGATTCACGTGTTTATGCAATTATGCGTGCGATACCATATTGAACAGCGCGCAGGGCTTTTCTTTATTGGCTTACCGGTCCTGAGAATCACGCAATGCAAACAAGGTCTACTGAGTCCGTACTTGTTCTATAGGCGCGACACTACTATGCTGATAATGCACATACGTCTACAGTCTCTCGTCCCGCATAGAGACAACAAGTTTTCTCGGAATGCTTACGAGATTTTCCAGTGGGCATATGGACGTACGCACGATCGTAGATACGCATACTTTAAATAGTTGCATTTTCTATATGTTATCGCCATTACAATTTTAGACATCACTGGAGAATACAACGTTATCGTTCGTAAACGCTGATTCCTTTGATTTTACTTTCAGAAATCATCCTGGCTAGATCTATTCCTTGCAGAGTTACTTGCGCAAGTGAACGAGGGCCGAGATATAAAGGAGGTTCTTTCATTCTGGTAAGTCAACCTTAAGACTTCAATAACAAAAATATTCTATTTCATTTTCTTCTTTTTTTTGGTGTCAAATTTTCACGAGCTGCACCTCGCATCTGGTCCGTAAGATTTCGTCTGATTGTACGTGACTCACATTTGTTGACATTTGCATGCATGGTCACTCCACGTACGATTTGATTGCTTTGAGTGGATTGTTAGTCAGTGTATACAGAAGCACAACTCTATATAAATTTAAAAAAAAAAAGTCTTCCGCTGAGATACTCGAGTTTGCTTGCCGTGACGAAGAAAGTACATCTGAAGTAGCTATGAGAAATTGAACGCACACCTCAGAACGTTATCGGCAACCAGTTTGTTGGAAATTTTCCAGAAATCAAACATCGGAGAATTTTTTTGCAGCTCGGTCGGTGGTGGCGGCGTCTCAACTCTCGTCGCTTGTGAACTACTTTCCGACGTTCATAATCTCTGTGCTGAAAGAATCGACGGTGGAGAACTTGTAGGTCTACGGAAGTATCTTATCCAGGGTCGAGGATGGCGATGCCTCGCGGTTCTGCATCTCCTGGGTGTACGTGGACTTTCCTGTGGACGAGAATTGGTCGCACTTCTCGTCGCGCTTTATCCAGTCGCCTTTCAAGAAGGCGCTGAGGCTGTACCCCATAATCCATACATAAAGTTCCACTGTAACGACGACACCGTCGATACCGTTGATATAATTGCTCACACCAAGAAGAAGAATGCTAAAAATAGAAGCAACAACGACGCCGCCATTTCTCAACGCAAGTTTATCAGGAGGCACAGTGTCGGGACGAAGACGCTTCTTCAGAAGCAGAAAACCGAGGCGAAGAACTCGGCGGAAAACGCAAGTAGCGAATCCGAGCTCCTGACTGATGGTATCGATCAGGCAAGATCATTGACACTAAAGATACGGCTTAATCCAATGGATTTCGAATACTTCACCTCGGTGGTGAGAAGCGACGAAGAGCAGAAATGGGACGCGTCCCTATATCAACTTCCTACTCGGCCAGCCCGGAAGAAGCCACTGGACTTCATCGACGCACGAACGAAGGCAGTGCTCGAGCACAAGATCAGCCACTTTGAGACTAGTCTTCTCATCGTGCAGCTGCTACAAGGATTGCGAGACTACGATACGCCTGCTGAGCAAACGCCAGCGGTGCAAGTACTGAAATTCGCACTGGACACGCTCTGGGCTCTGCAGTTTGGAATCGACGGCGCCAGCCTCACGGGTACAGAGTGTGCCACGCTCAAGGCAGCAGCTGCTAGACTCATGATCACTGCGCTGGAAAGAGTGCTGAGAGCGGACGAACCCACCACGGCCGTAATTCACAACGGATTGCTGCCTATGACACTGAGATTGCTGGAAGATGCCTGCAGCAAACCGGTATCGGTATTGACACCCGAGGAAGGATCATTGCTGCAGGAATTTATTTTTGCCACCATCTACGGAATCATCACATTCCTCTATTGTCTATTGCATCAGCGTGGTACTACCGAGAAGCTAAAAGACTTTCTTGAGCTGTTCCAGCTCTTCACGGAGAGTCAGGATGGCAGACTCGTAGAGAGAACGATCTTGGCCATCGTAGATTCGCCGAGTATAGATCAGCCGAGGTCCGTAACTCGGGCCAGAAAAGTCATTGACATGATAGGCGCTCTGATAAGCGCGCTCAAGCGAGTCCGCCAGGAGCTATGTCATATGGGCCAGTGTCGCAAAGTGAAGCATAAGTCCTGCGTGGATAAGGCCGAGACTCACCATCACTTTGACATTTTGGGAGTCGCGTACTCCCAACCGGTCGTGGGTACCATAACTAAACAAGTTTGTTGTATTTCATCTCTTTTTATGACTTTAACAATCCTGCTGAAGGAATCACACTCCTTCATTGCTGATCTGCAAGTGCGTTTGCTCAAAGTTATGACAGCTGCTGGTGCGTGCTGCTGCTTCCCACCGAAAATCCTGGTGTCGAATATCATTATGTTTCTCAAGAAACGGAACTCGTACACTTACGCGCCAGCCGTCGCTCTTTTGGAACGGATTCTATTCAAGGAATTCGGTGCATATCCTGGTCCTGATATCTGCAACACATGCAACAAATCTCCGAATTACTCCTGGGATTTTTTAGGACTTTATAACGAGTTACTCACGCCGGACGACCCTAAGATGTGCTATGTGATAATGGCACATTTATTTAAAGTTACGCCAAACTCTAGCTTCTCCGTGAGACAAGAATTTCTCTTCAAAGTCTTCTATCCGACGTTTATCAACGCAAAGAATGTTTATTTAACGGACAGTGAAAATTTCGTGGCGAAATTTCTCATGCAATCCTGTCTCTCTGTCATCTCCAGCTTGATAGCGAATGCGCCAATGTGCGAGCGATTCACAGAGAAGAATGGAGTCAGCGACGCTCTGGACCTGCTGCCAGAACCAGCATTTACGAGAACTGTCTACGCTTTATTAGAGGTGACAGTGATTATGGAGATTTGGAAGACTTGCTGCGAGGATCCTGCGGATGACCAGAAAGTAGAAACTCCAGCACTCACGTCTCTCCTTAACTTGCTTGAGAAGGAGACGCTAACTCTGCTCGATGTCCTGGGACAACGCAAAGAGGAACAAGTGCAAATCGAAGATTCAATGGAACAAAATTTAAAGCAGAAAAACAAAGTAGGAGACGGTGATAGTCTTCATAAACATAATGATACTCAAACTGAAGCTACAACGAATAAGACTGATTCAAAAACTGATAGTGATGTTTCGTCCGAGCTTAACGAAAGATCAACTTTTCCCAAAGATGACTCGTTGCTACATATGGATGATTTACTGAAGAGCAGCTTGCAGCAAGCGAGCGCGGCGTGGAGAGCCGCAGCAGGAGTCTCCTTGTGCAGTCCGAAGTTTCGTTTGGAATTGTCGAAACACTCGGTGTCTGAGAAGTCTGTGCAACTATTTAAGTTGCTGGCAATTTGCGTCGCCTCGGATCGAATAAACGGTAAAGCAAGAAATACTAGACTTTACGGTCATAATAACTCCAGTGATAATGTAGTGAATATGTCTCTTTGGATTTCTTCAGATTCGAGTAAATGTGTCCACCGTCTGATCGAAGCCCTCGTAACGTGTTGCCTGACATCATCATTGTGTAAGTGTCTCCCCACTTTGCACACACCCCACAGAGCTGATCTGAATCTGAGTTACAGCATAATTTGAATAGCTTAAGATATTGCGATATTCTGCTAATCCGCATGCACCTGCGGATTAGAAGACGCAGAAGCGTGCTGTCGGATCTGACGTGAAAAACAGTTCGAAGAAAATTCTCGTTGATTGAATACCGTACCGAGAAAAGTATTTCTCTAGGGAAAATTATAAAATAGCAAAAATGGTTTGTGGTGCAGGTGGATGCGAGGTGGTCACAGAGCTGGGGAAAGTTCTAATGGATGCTGGAATAAGATTGGGCCGTGGACTAGCGATACTTGTAGAAGCTCTACTGCGAGTTTCAATGGTGCGACCGAGTTCAGAGCAAACTGTACCACAGCAATCACGACCAAGAGTATGTACCGTGAACTTTGATATAGGGAGAAGGCAGAAGGGAGAGCTGTCATGCGGCAAAACAGATATTTTCTGCATTACAGCTGTCAACTATGGCCTTAGATACGTTTCCGGATTGTGGCGGCGAGGACAGCAGCACTGGGGAATATGTGACAGCCGATGACGGATACGAGGCCGATGTTGAAATTCCTGGAAGAAGTCCTTACAGTGGCATTCCGAAAAAAGTGAATCCGTTTGGTCCCGTGGTCGAACCGAGAGGACACGCCAATGCACATCCTGCCTTGTGTTCCTTGGCCGTTGATCTTCTGATACATTTTGGCGAACAGTGAGTAATTTTGCAATTTCGCGATACGCCCAGTAGATTCAATTTTTCAAATATTTATCCTTCTTAGAGGCTTGGATGGCGAACGTAGTAATATCGTTACCGGTGGATTGAGACGGGTCGCTGTCACCTGCAGGGAGAGTGCATCCAGTTGCGCGGCACTCGCTGGCTCAGGAGCGATAACAAGAATACTGAACGGTTTTAAGGAAACCCTGATCAGCACAGATCCTCAATATCAAGGTGCTTTAATCATTAAAAGGTGGATTATCGAGACTTATGGATTGCTGACATCTAAAGAATTTCTGTTTAGATTTACAGCACGCCGTTCTCGAAGTTTTCACTCTACTAGCGACTCAGTCTATCTCACCAACGGAATTGGTCTCCTATTTGTCGTTATTCAAAGTCTCCGCACCGCCACTGCAATCACTTCTGGAACCACTTTACCGCCTAGTGATGACTGCCAAACCGCAGCCAAATTTTATTTTATCGTTCCCTGTACTATCGGACGTGCAGACGATGGTGAAGATACAGAACGAGGAATACAAGAATTTGGAGAAGGTGGAAAATTTAGTGAACAACTTCAGAAAGCGACATCTCACATCCGGAATATGCAGTCCGTGGTCAGTACATGCTACGTGTCTACCAGTTGGACCGGAGCTGGCTTGGCCTGTTTGGCTCCATGGCTGTTCAGCCTCTATGTGGCTCCGAGTCGAAAGAGGACTTTCAATAGGAAGTAGAGGACATGTCACCACGAAGTCTCCTTTGCTCGATTCCGGAAGTGAGAGTCTTTCCGATTGGGGCCTTCTCTCTGACAATTGGAGTCGCGAAGGTTTGTCTTTATAGACTCGAGTCATTCAATAACCAAATATGGACGCATGTTGAATTCCCGCTTCGATATGGCAGTTGTTGCAGGTTCAGCGTCCCCGCCGACGCCGACGTCTATTATTCATTTAATGTCTGTTGGCTTTGAATCCCTTGTACTGGAAAGTTGGCTCGATCTTCGATCAGGTAATGTTATCCAGGCAGGAACGTTATTTCAATTTGTTGTCAAATGAGTCAATTAAAGGAACAAATTTTCTATACAGATAAATTGATTTTACGCCTGACACGTCCGGATGACAAGACGAATCGTACAATCTCGGAAACCTCGATAGGTGGCATGTTTCCTTCGGGACGCTGGCACCATTTAGCACTGAACTTCAAGGATACCGTACTGAATAAACGTAGTGCCGTCGTGGATGTGGTTCTGTGGATTGACGGTTGGCGGGAAGCACATGCCCAGCTACCTTTCGACGGCCTTCTGGTCAGGAAACCAGGCACTACCTGCATCCTTCTAGGACAGATCGGCCCGTGTGGAATTGGCGCTTGGTACCTCGGAAACTTAATGCTCTTTAGGTGTCCAGTCTTTACCAAAGAACGGGCTCTTTATCTAGCTAGCCTTGGCCCGAATCACACGAATCTCGCTGAATGCATCTTGAATACTGCTAAACCAGACTTTGCACCGCTCATTGCATCTGGTGCACTCAATGGCGTTCGAGAATTGAAATTCGGTTAGTATCATTATTATTGGAATATTTTCATCTTTGCATAATCCATGTATGCTGACTATCTTTACAGAAGGAGGTAAGTTCGATACCAACCGAAGAAAGTCTTATGGTGGAACTTACTTAAGGCACGCAGTCGAGACCAAGGTGTCCGATATTAGAATAGACTGGGATACTGTTATGGATGCTACCAATTCGCACTTGGGAGAACTGCAAGATAATTTACTGCTCAGCTATGAAGCGCAAAATCCAAACATCGTCCATCTATATCCACAAGCTGTGGCGAATCCTGGTGGTGCGCAGTAAACATTCTCGTCAACGGAAAAGGCAACTTGTCTAATTTCCAATTAATTCGTTTTATTTCTCCAGCCGTGGTGCGAAACTTATTTCCCGGCCAACCTGGATTCAGGGTAGTCTCTGCGCCAGAGCACAGAGTGTCCCAACAGCCTCCCTTATCTGTACCGCCAATCTTATCAACGCGATTGGAGTATCAGCAGTACAGAGGCCTTGTACCTGCAGCAAGCTTGGTTGGCGGAATACCAGTGTTCCTCTATTTATTCGCAAGGGTACGAATGCTTTAATCAAGATATAATAACATTTTTCTCCATAAGGATGATTCACTTTTTCATTTAGGTCGTAGAATTGAATTCTACCGAGGAGGAACAATCATTGGCACTGTCAATAGTGCTACACTTGGCACGCACTGATTCAGAACTTTTGAATCAATATCGATCAGAAGGTGGACCATCCTTGCTTTTGCGTGTCTTAGAGTCACCGCGATGTCACGCTGGTCGCCATATTCTCAAAGCCATACTAGATGCTGCTTGCGACAGTTCCATTTTAATTAAGGACATCAGTAGCGGAAATCATTCGATATCACAGAATTGTGAGGCTGTCATTACGGATCCAGAACTTATCAAAGGTGCTCTAGGAGCGTGGAGAACATGGGCTAAGTCTGACACGCTGCACTTACTTCTGCAGGCCTTATTATTGTTACTGAGAGATCAGCACTCACAGAGAGAGTTTAATGCTTCCCAACTGAATAGAGTTGGAATCGTCGATACTATTTTAGCTCTCTGTAAGGAACATTTTATGTACGAGGATCTTGGCGCGTCATTAGATCCAACCACCGGCAGTGCCGTTGTAGAATTGATACGAGCATTAATGGGTGCTCCACCGGAATTCGCACATTTAGTCGCCATCACCGATTATCTGGTATTGGTTCACCAGGCCTCTGAGACCTATGTCACTCACGTGAGGCATAATATTTACTTCCTTTTGCCACCGTTAGAACAAAAGAAATCCAGCACAAAAGCTAATTGCGCAACGACTGGAACTTCTTCTGACGATTCCATTGGAACTTTGGACACGAGAAAATTGAGCAAAGCCATAGCCAATGTTCAGGTGAGCTAGTAAGGTCTTGCTGATTAGGAAGTCTGGCATTTGAATTGTAAATAATTGTTATCGCTTGGAATATAGATACAAAAAGGTAGAGCGTCGAGAAGAAGAGAACGTCGGAATGGTCCATCGAGAGAGACTAGTGCTGGAGAAGATTCAGGCATTGCAGCTAGCGATGGATCGAATCATCAGGTCTCAGTACGATTTGCCATATCTTTATTAAATTTGTCTTACATTCGTTTAATCGATGCCATTTCGGTTTAGGAAAAACAGAATGCATGGACGGATGAAAGACGAGCATGTCAAGGATTGGTATGCGAGGGATTACTCTTACTCCTAAGAGATGCTCTCAGAGTGTTACCAGACAGCCAAGTTGGTTCGGTACTGAAACATGTTCTGAGAGCCGAATTGCTACTTGTCTTAGCCAACAATCCAGATGCCAGGGTCCGCACTGCACTCGTAAAAGTCGTACAGACATATCTCCAGCGTGCCAGCGACGAAGAAGTCAATAAATTCATAAAACAAAAGTATTTCCTGCATCTGGCTAATCAGATATCTTTGTACTCTGGAAGTGAACCATTGGTAGTAGCCCTAGAAAATTTAGCTCTACGCGGTTCAACACTAGCAGCCATGTCACCATTGCTGGCCATGATCCCGAAAGCAGCGGCGACAGATCCCAACGTAGCAAGGCCAATGGTTTCCTTCGTGACTGACATGATAAGCAAGGTAAAACGATAAAACATTTATGATTGGAACGGTAACATCAGCGGTCTGTAATTCCCTCAGAATCCAAGTGCCCTAAGAATGCTCCTGGAGCAAGGATTGGCAGAGTCTTTGGCTCGAGCCTTGATTGGTGCTGCTCATAAGAACAATTTAGCATCCCTCTTTCGTGACATTCACGTACTACTCGTCGCAATCGCAACAAAACTGCTTGAATCTCCAGGAAATCATCAATTGCAAGCAGTAAAGGATCTTCATTTGATTTTGAATCATGTAGAATTAAGAGAACGCTCACAGTGTGGAGCAACGACTAATTGCGTCACGGTAGTGCGAGATGCTCAAGTGGCTTTATTTGATGGAGAATTAGATGCGCTTACCGCAAGAGTTTCTACACATCACGGATTCAGATTACGCAGTACAGCTTCATATCTGGCCTCTGCAACTTACTTGACATCAGGTAGTGACATTCCAAATATTAGAAACAATTAGAAGCGCATTATTTTTAAATGATATTTCCCTAGTGCTAACAACCTCCAGCGAACAGAGTGATCATGGTTCCCGTTCCTCGAGTTATGGAAGCTTACAAGGTGCACCAAATTCTATGACAAAGGAACCTGGAAAAGGGGAGCTGAATGAACGATTTCGGACTATTCTAATTCGCGCAGTGGAGTTCATCACGACGGCAAATCAGTCGCCATCGGCCAACGAGTTGGAATTGACCAGGCGACTATTTGCCACGTTGTTGCATGGACTGGCGGCGCCTTTGGAAAGAAAGAGTCAATGGGGTGGATCGTGGTCCTCAAGGCCAGCACTGAGGAAAAACACGGCGAGAATCATGGTGTGGCTTCTGGGTCCACACCAAAGTAATAATACTAGGGTGTACGCGGTTAGATCTCTTATGGAAGAACCGAGAGTTCGAGACATTTTGACTTCGCTCTTGGCAGTCCACCCTCACGTGGAACAGAAATTCACAGTTTTCCTCTGGGAGTTACTCCAAAGGCGAGACGAATTGCCCAGCGCTGACGCCAGAGTATGTGCGGAATTAAAGGAGGCTTTAAGTGTCTGGGGATTGGCCAAAGGTATGGATCAGGCGACTCCTGGATTGTGGGGTGAAGAATTGGCACTTCTTCGAAGGGAACTGATGAGGGACCGTGATATTTGGATTGAGAATAATCTACCCGCAATATATCGGTACGCATTTTGGAATATATTATTGTAAAGTGTATCGAGAAGCAATTATTGTTTTTTTTCTGCAACAGAATTGGCAACAAATTCGATGCACTGGCCAAACAGCTTACTGAAAGTGCGATGACCATAACTAGGAGCGTAGTGGATGAACAGAATCGTGAGCGTAAAGTTTTAATGGAACGCTTAAAACACTCGAGAGCGATGGAAGCCCAGGCTATGGCCAGATGGAGAGATCTAGCCAGACGTCTTACGCACGAGAGGGCCCCATGGCACTTTCCGGAAAGTTATCCCCGCAGCTGGGAGCTAGACCCCACCGAAGGTCCCGCTAGGGTCAGGATAAGAATGCAGAGATGTCACTTAAAGATAGACAAGAGATTCTTTTTGAATGAGCATCGAAACAAGCTGGACGCAGTGAACGTCGAAGCACCGCTCTCCTATCTATTCACGACAGATCGACAAGACGCGAATGCAACAGCCTTAATCGAGAGACTTCACACTACCGAGAGGATTCGCAAAATGTCACAGGCAAGGGTTGTTACGCCTGGTGCAGAATTGCCTGGGGAGGTGCTCATAGGGGAGACTTGTCTTTACTTCGTTCCTGACAAGCCTGACATGCCTTTGTATACGGATGTGAGTAAACTTTCCTATATTCGCAATTGGTGCGGGCACTGTTCTCATAAAGAATGGTTCAATTCCACTTTGCTTCAGATTGCTCTTGGTGGATTGGATCTCGCCATGGTTGGTGGAACTGCCTGGCGTCTTGAGGACATCCGAGAATTGCACAGGAGAAGATACCAGCTGCAAGAAAGAGCCATTGAAATATTTATAGTAACGGGAAGAACGTATTTGCTAGCTTTCAATTCTTCAAAAGTACGTGGTGGATACAGTTAAGTAGAACTAAAACGACAATTACATTTCGTAATTATTTTTAGGAAAGAGACGAGTTTGCCACAGAGTTGTCGGCTTGTAATTTGCCAAGACGAATTCCAGGAGATGATCTTGGCGAAGCGCTCGCGTTATGGCGCGGTGGTACATTGACCAACTGGGAATACATCACATGTCTAAATAAATTAGCCGGCCGGTCTTACAACGATCTCATGCAATATCCAGTGTTTCCATTTGTCTTGGCTGATTACGTCAGTGAGAAAATGGATTTAGACAATCCAAAGATTTATCGGTAAGCTGCGATAAAATCGACTTTGCAATTAGTCTGACATGGGGATATATTATAATTCAAGAATAATCATTCTACTCTAGCAATTTCAAACGTCCCATGGCAGTACAGGATAAGAAGAACGAACAGCATTACATTTACAATTATAACGTAAGTTATCCTTAATTAATGATCCTTATAAAATTTTAAGTAATTTTGTATATAATTTCTTTCCAGTATCTGAAACAAGCTCTGGCGGAGGGCTTGAATTTAATCGCGCTGAATCAGGAACCCTTCCATTATGGATCCCATTACAGTAATTCAGGAACGGTATTGCATTTTCTTGTGCGACTTCCGCCATTCACAAGCATGTTCCTGTGTTACCAAGGTTGGATCAATATATTATTTAAAGTCACAGTTATGAGTTACATACGACTGATACATGGCGCATCTTGTGCAGATGATAACTTCGACATGCCTGATCGAACGTTTCATGCGCTGGCCACAACCTGGAGATTGACGAGCTGCGACTCTACGACTGATGTCAAGGAACTTATACCGGAATTTTTCTATTTGCCCGAATTCCTAATGAATTCCGAAGGATTCAATTTCGGGGTGCGACAAGACGGCAATCCAGTAGGGGACGTAGAATTGCCGGCGTGGTGCGGCGGTGACGCACGTCTATTCATTCTTGCACACAGGGCTGCTCTTGAGGCAGAGATTGTCAGGGAAGTTCTGCCTTATTGGATCGACCTCGTTTTCGGATTTAGGCAAACTGGAAGGCCAGCGGTAGAGGCGATAAATGTTTTTCATCCAGCGGTAAGCAAAACTTACAATTCTTCGTCGTTATCTTCAGGCAGTATTCTATATTCACCAAGCTATGTTTATTACTTCTAGACGTATTATGGCTTCAACGTCGAACAAATAGCAGATCCTTTGGAAAGACAAGCATGGGAAACTATGGTGCGAACATATGGTCAAACGCCAGCTCAATTATTCAGGGCAGCACATCCATTGCCAATTCAAAACCTTAGTGTAACGATGTCGTCGAGTACTGTACCGCAGGTTATTGAGGGTGTGGACGGTATTAGATGGGGTATTTACGTCGGAGCACCTGGAAACGAACCAGTTCTGTGTTGGAAAAATAAACACAGAGCACCATTGGCTTCTCTCATTCCCCTGACCACGGGCGATGTTTTTGGATTGCCAATTAACACGACTTTACTGTTGGGCTACAGTAAGGAAAAAGGTACTGAGGAATCATTTAGCTTTCAGCTTCGTCCATAAGAATGGACTGTGATACTTGGTTGGCTCTAGGTGCAAGCATGCTCAGTGGCACTTCCGTTTTGGGGGCTGCTCTTGCTTCCTGGAGAGGTACAGATGGAATCGCCAGAATGAAATCGAAGAAGGAACAACCGCCCCGACCATTAGTTAAATCTTCTGGGCTGGATCCAGTAAGTTGATATTGAAGTATAGTCAATTTCGCAAATAGGATTACCAATATAATTTCTTTCAGATTACGATATTAGGATCTGCTCCGGACTGCGGGCAATTATGGATTGGGCATTTGTCCGGTAGAATCACCGTTCATAGTTACAACGTTGTGACTGCTGGAAAAATTGAATTCTCCTCTGCACCAGCATCCGTCCTCTTGGGTCATAGAAGTTCCGTGATTGTGATCGCGTTATCGAGAGCATTTAGCATTGCCGTATCCGGTGATAGCGAGGGTGTCATTGTTATTTGGGATTTGAACAGGTAAGACTTTATGGAAGTTTATTCGGTACAACGGTAGAAGCTGTTCAGTTATTCTAATTTGCTTTCCTTTTCTTCTCAGTTTGTCATATGTCAGAGCCATAGTTTGCGATCAGGCACATTCGACAAGTCTTCTGTGCATCAGCGAAACTCTTGGTGATATAGCAATAACGTATGCAATGCCAAATGGAAACGAGGAGAACAATCCTGACAATAGATCTGAACTGAAAGTATACACTATAAATGCTAGGCCAGTGGGTACTGTTTCATCCAGAAGACGGATAACAGCGTTGTGTTACAGCAATGCTCCAGAGGGCATATCCGTCAATGTCATTGCTACAGGATTGGACAATGGAGTCATACGGTTTGTAACTCTAATATAGTGTTTTAATTCAGCGTACTATTTATAATGAGGGATGTTATTTAATTGTTTAGGTTATGGAGCAGCTGGGATTTGAAATTAGTGAGAGAAATTGTTAATGGCAGTAAAGGTTGTGGTGCAATAATAGCTGTGGCTTGGGCGCTCGATCAACATCATTTGTATGCGGCTACCGAAGACTCTACTGTACTTATTTGGGAAGGAACTAAACGTTTAAGCAACGGAACACCGAAATTTGTTAATTTAACGTCTCTCTAACGCAAAGCAGAGAGCAATCTCGAAGCCGAATCGAACAAAGCTAAACTCCTGTAAATAGGATACATTATAATATATGAAAGCGAGGATGCCGAGGAAATTTGTATAATTATCAACTGCAAAAAGTAGGAACTACCCATTACTTATACATTTTTTAAATGAAGTATTGAAATCCAATATCTGAACTAAGATAGACAAAACACTCAAGTATTATTTTTTTCTTCTGTCAACCAAATAATACTCGTGATATTTGTAATGATATTGTAACAGCAATTTTTTATACTTCATTATATTATCTTATAACAATTACATAGCAATATAATAATAATTACTTTTTTTATTGTTACATATATTTATGTTTCAACTTTATTATATGTGTAATATGATAATTATATTTTCTAAAGAATAAGTTAAATTTCATTTAGACATGGTTCTGCAATTTCAAAGAGAGGGTAATATTTACCAGTTCTTTTTGCTACCTGTTCAGCTGTATCGCCACTAGAATTTATAGGATTTGGGTCAGTATCTGGATGAAGGAGAAGAAGTTGAAGCGCAGGAGAATTATGTGAGCTGGCAGACACTAAATGCAATGGTGTTTGATTCCCTTTAGTTTTGGCATTAACATCTGCTCCATTGGCAATAAGAATCATAGCACAATTAACATTGTTCCAGCAGCAAGCGGAGTGCAAAGGCTGCCAACCATCCATGGTTTGTGCATCTATGTTTGCTCCATTTTGAAGTAGTAATTCCACCATGTCAACATGATTCCCATAGCAGGCTCTGTGAAGCGGTGTATATCCATCCTTATCAACACAATGCAGCAGTGCAGGATTTTTGTTCAAGAGTTTCTTCGCATGATCCAGTTTCCCTTCTTCGGCAGCACTTAACATTGCCATCTCGTCCGGTTCTATAGTTAAAAAGTATAATGTTCCAGTTTCCCATAAAACCAGAAGATAGGACAAATCAACTTCAGCAAGTCCTAACCTTTCGCATTACGCTCGGCTTCGATTCCATCGTCGTCGTCCTCCCAGGCACTAACTTGCATGCGTTCCGTACGAGGTGTGCTGAGAATCTTGTCGCGGATCGCCTCAAGATTCATCAACTCATCGTTCTCTTCGTCCGAGGACATTTTCACAAAATTTCGTTTAAAACAAAATCAACATACATTATTCTCTTTCTTATTTATTCTTCCGATGTAGATGGCGCGTGCTGGATAGTCTGCGCACAGGGAGGACTACTCTATACTCACGATTACAACTTGAATAGCGCTACTTCAGTTACCTTACATACATTCGTATTTATTTTAGTTCTTGTCACTCGTTTGGACGAAGAAAACATGGACAGTCAAAAGCTACTTGAAAGTTTAGATATTCTGGGATATGTGGGTGTTTGCATCAGTACGGAAAAGTCTCAACTTCTCAGGAATTCCTTGCTGATTCTACAGCAGGAAAATCATTTTCGAAAATGTTTCTATTGGGGACGTATTGATGGCATTCAAAAAGACTATCATGTCGCTTATGGTTACGAGAAGGATTGCCTCAAAAATCAGGTTTACTACTATAGGTGAGATTGCATACGTAATGAATTATTACCTGAAGATTACACCATTAATAATTTGTTAAATGATCCTCGTATCATTCCATTACAAGTCACGATTGTCTGGAGTGGCTCTTGATGCCCAAACCCACTCAATGGGGACGTTTTTTAGCTCCTTTGGCCATTAATAAATTTGAAGGTGAAGCATCCATTGTAACGAATGTTTACGACGTCAATCCACCCTTTCCACCCAACGAAGATCCAAAACGCCATTATGACGTAATGGCTACATTTATTTCCTCCTTTTTTTTCCTTCGCGGCTAGAACATATCATTTTCAAAGGTAGAACATACGAATTTTAGGGTGCCATACCACGTGAATTAAAAGAGGAGGATCGTCTCGCAGCCATTGTCAGTTCTATTAATGAAGATGCGATGGTTATTCCTCGTGGAAGCTGGTCAAAGCGTTCCGACGGAACGATCTTCGAAACTCCTGGATTCGAAGGACTCTCCATGACGGATGCAGAGCATTTAAAGTCGTACCTGCACGCGAGGCCACCTCGACAGAAGTGGAATACTAATCTCCTTACTCGAGCAGACTATAATTACGCTTTCGATTTTCTAGACACGATAGACGCCGACGTCCCGCAGGGTAAAGGCGAAAACTAAGTAACTCGAAAGAGAGAGAACGTTTAATGATCTGTGTTCTGTTCTTACAGGATGCTGGGACTTGCAATTCTTACAAGGAGGACGCCTAGGAATACTGCAGTGCTTTTACTGGCCTGGAATGACCTTTTATCATAAGATCGGTACCCCGCATTATGGCTCATTGTACATAGGTCATGGAAAGAAGAATATGGACATACCATTTATGATTTAAAGAGCGCGATGTTATATATATATATATATATATATATATATATATATATATGTATGCGTGTGTATTATGTGATCATGAGAAATCTGTTTGTTAGAAAGGTAGAAAACTGAAACAGAATTTTTAGTATTACCATAAATATATATGTATACGTAACGTAAGGTTACATCTCGGGAAGCATATATTGATCGTAGTGAGCGGGAAACACCGATGAAACAAACTGCAAGTCATAAGACAGTGATATCATTTCCAACGTCCGTTACACGTTGGCAATTACGCGCTGACTTTTATTTAATTCGGAGGTCCTCGGGTCAACTTGCAGTTCGTAATTAGTATATACAATTTTCATATAAACAAATGTTACTAAAGTACTTGATTCCTGGAACGAGTTTTATAAGGAAGTGAGAGATAAAATTATATGAAAACATAAGATCTGCAGCTTGGATTATCATGTCCGCGTATATAATCTAAGAATATCATGATAAAATTCAATATAACGTAACATAACTGGACCCTACATCTCGTAAGAAGCGCGAGGTGATATCGGTGCAAGGCCAAGGCAAGTTTAAAGTTGTTTTCGAAGTCCGGTTATTCAACGCCGCCACGGAGAAGGCGGGGGTCTGAGGAAGGTCGTCGCGCACGCATGAGGTTTCGGTGAAAGCCCGTTAGATGGCGATAGGATCGATGGTCGTTGAAGCCAAGGAGTATGGGAAAGCTCATGCCAAATGCCTGGCATAGTCGAGTGAAGTTGTCGCGTAACCAATACAAGTGTCTTCTACGTGTATTTTAACTGATTTATCCAGGATATTTCATTGAAAACTGTAAGTAAGCTTTTTATTCACTTTCTATAACCTTTACTTGAGTGACCCATAGACAATTCCATTGGGGAATGATATACTTTGTCGGTAAAAATCGTTAAAGAGCTGAGAATAAAATTCTGCCGTGTAGAACTCCGAGACGCCGGCTCCAACGCAGCGCCCGTTTTTTTTCAGCACGTGGCTTTGCCTAGAAATCGAAGAAAAATTGTACGTTTCTTTATAATTCGATTATTTCTTCCTGGTGTTATGTTCATTAGCAAATTCTATAATACACGTACATACGTAAATTACAAACAGACCGGTTGGTAAATGCGTCCATAAGTCCCACCCAAATCTGTCAATAGTTGCGCTGTAAGCGAGGGTCGCGTCCCTGTGACGTTGTTTGCTAGACCGTTTGTATTTGCGTGTGCTGTTCTTTCTGGATAAGCCTGTTGAAACTGCGCTGCATGAATCACGTACAATTACCGTTGCGCCAAGAGTCACAAGTCCAGAAGACCGCTACGCACTAAGCGTCATGTCCCGTGAAAAATTAGTAGATTTCGTAGGATGGCCGGATAAGAAAAATGAGAAAGAGGAATCAGTTTATACTATCTTCGTGATTCAAAGTAATCAGGGGAAACAGAGAGAGAGAGAAGACAAGAGAGAATGAAGCCATTGGCGGATCCTGCGAAAGTTCAGGGCTCAACCGACGCAACGGATCCTGGATGGCTCCGATCCTCTCGCATGCTCCCTTGCGCATTTTTATTTTCTGTTTACATTCCATTTATGCCGAACCCGCTGGCACACACAAGGCTCAAGGTTAACCAGAGCCGCGGATTGCAACCCGTTGATCGGGAGAACGACTACCTCATCCTGTGCCACCACCCTAAAATTCCAATTCTAGAATATTTTGTGATGGAGGAACGTAGGGGTCGTTAATCATAACTCGTTGCGAGAAGCCATATGGTTGCATCGATGGAACGCATCCAACGAAGCTAATTCTCCAAAATCAACGTTATTCTTTTTTGAATGTCGTCTCTGTTCTTTAATACTTTATCTTCGTATTAAGTGGAATTCCATAAAGTGATGAAACAAGACAATTATACTCTAATGAACCGGCAATTCATCGTCGTTTTAGAAGAGGTACAATTCCAAATATGATTTCGAGAATAATAAATTAATCTCATTATTCTAGAATTACCAGACGAGTTTCGTGACGGTCGAATTCATTGTAGTGCCCAATTTCTCGATTACTAAATCAAAGTCACTTCTTCATATTGTTCTTCCAACTTGATGCATTGATTTAGGATTTCTTCCAGAAGGCCAGTTGGCCATCTTTAGTCACCTCATTTCAATGAACCCATCTGTTTCCCAAAATCTGCAGAAAATCGTTTGATCGATACCATCCTCTAGATTCTCTGGTAACCTCTGGCTGCTCCTTGTCCAAGTTCACTTCCTCTCTGGGAGTGCCCCCTCTTCGTTAAGATTTCCCGTTAGGGAGAAATCAATGGTGTGGCAGCACTTGTGGTGCCTTCTACGCTTAGCGGCTTTTGGATTCGTATGCATGGCCGGACATGTACAGCCCTCTAGTCGCGTAGTCAATTCTGCGCACGGATCTCGAGTTCCGGTTCCTATTCAATAGCCATCCTCTTGAGTCTCAACGCCGTCGTGTCGTCCTCATCGTCTTGGTTCCCTTGTTCGTTCATAGAAACTCGTAGAAGCTTGCGAGACTGGTGGATTTTCATCGTCTTTCGCGAACCCATCGATCAGCGAGAGAACTAGCCAAGCACTCGAGGCACCTGAACGACAGTGTAACGGTACTCGGTACTCGTGCAATTACGTCCATTATATCCGATACGAGACAATGATGTCGGTAAAGATGGTGGTAACGTCACGGGGAAGATGATGCCACGCGAATGCGCAATAATGCATCCGCGCTCGGTTGATTAACTCCGTGATCGTACGATAGCCGATAGCCGATAGCCGCTCCTGGCATTCGCAACGTGGAACTCGGGTCGTAAGGTTTCTTTCTTTTTTTCTCTCCTGCGTTTCGGCCGACACGCTTTGTCGCACCGACTCGCCTCGCGTAGCCTCGAGTCGCGCAACCTACGGCTAGCGAGAAGAAATCCTAACGGGATCTGGAGTAAAGTGTAAAAAGTCGAGCAAAGTACAGCCGCTCGGCGAAGTACTACAAACCGATCGATTTCTTTGCCGGGTAGCTCGTGCTTTTTTACATTTTACAGGAGAATATCCGAGTGTCGTGGATCGATGGAAAAATTGGTGCGGAGTCACTTGGTGAGAAACTTTGGACTCGCAAAAAATCAGAGAGTTGTCCTCATTTTTGTCACTATGGTCTCTTGGTGCTCTTGGTACACGTGCACGCACGATTTCTCCTGCTCCTTTTGCTCCAAATAGATTTCCCAAATTTTCCTGATCTCTGCCATGGCTCCTGGCTCCTGATCTCATAGAAGATTGGAAGGCCTGATCCAACAGCGATAGGACGTCGATCGACCGGCAATTTTGTTAGCGGCAGCCGATTCACTAGGGTTCTTTTCCGAGCGAAAGGATGAGAGATCGGTGATCTAACCGTTCCCGGCTCGATGAAGAGAAAATGAAGTTGCGCAGCGGCTCTCCGGCGTGTCGCCGCGACGCACTAGACAAGATCTGTATATATGTGTGTACATATGTATACTGCGGTTGGCGCATCGCGCGTCGCGAGGCTCCACGGCGTCGCCTGGTGCGCCATCCTGTGGCCTGGCCTGGCTCTTTCGACTTCGGCGAGCGTGTAATTACGAGGGACACAACGTGGCATATCGTAATGCGTGAGAACCGCTCATTTAACGCGAGAACTGGTTCTGAGGTGGCTGTGGCCATCCTCCAGGCTCGCCTGGATTCTAAGGTCGTAAGCGCAAGATCTAATGAGCCACAGGATTGGCTCCAGTGCACGCAGGGACAGCTCGGCGAATTCTAGACTCCTGCGTGTCTTCTTCCTCCTTCCTATCCGAGTATATCAAAATTATCTTACTCGCTTCCCTAATCTCTCTCTCTCTCTCTCTCTCTCTCTCTCTCACGCCTTCAAATTTTCCGTCGATCCGATTTTCCATCGGTCGTTACCCGTGTCGCAGCCACGTCTAAACGTGCACCTTATTGTGGAGATTTCCTCTCTTTCTTTTCCAAGAGAAAAAGGGCCAGGAAATTTGTGAAGGCACTGCGGTGTTCAGGGGAGCCCGCGGTCGCACGAGAATGCTATCGGCCATCACGTGCACTTGGAGTGCTTTACTTCCACACGGTGGCTCCGTTGTCAAGTGGACAATATCTTCTCGAGTTACAACAATGTTACCGTTGCGCCGAATAAAACACAACTCGTTTGACTCCTTCGCGGCTCCCCCGTCCCGTCACTCTTTGCCTCTCCGCCCTCTGGAACTCTATACTCACAATCAGTTGGACCATCCGCGCTGTCGCAGATATCGCCTCGGCATTTGTTATGACGCCGTCGGTAAAGCTGCGCTGGAAAGTTGATCGTTTGACCGACAACGTGCGAACGGAAAGGGCGCGGAAGTGTTGCAAGTACAAGATTCCCCGTTAGTGAATTTGAACGTTGGCACGTCCGTTACGGCTGCAGCTCGCTTTGAGTCTGTGGCTGGTTGCATTGCTGCACGACGTCGCGTGGCCGAGTGCGAACGAGACGGCTAAATTTATTTGCCAAGCCAAGTCCAGCCCAGCCCAGCCGCCACGTTGTCCCTCGCGTCCCTCGCGTCCCCGTGACGCTGCACACTGCA